ACAAACAAACAACTGCATAGGGCTGGTAAAACCTACACAATTATTGTCCTTGAGACTACTACAAAAAGCCAACAGTGGAAGTTCAACAGCAAGAAGTCTGTGAAAGGCTAAGCAAATGGGATTGCATATGACAAGGCAGGTCTTGCCATAACCCACAGATCTTTTTAGCACACACCATTTTATTTTGTGCTCCTCTCCCCTGCTTACTGGCAGGCTGCTGGGGCATCTTTGAGCTCCTTGAACACTCTCTGCACAAGCATGACTAACACCATGCCCACTGGGGCCCAAACTATATGGGGCCCCAAGGACTGCTGGCAAAAGTGATACTCACTAAAGCTGCATTTAACCTACAGATTCTCTTCCTCCCTTAATGTATATACTTGAGCAGTAACAGCTTTTGTTATAAGCTGCAGTTTATGAAGACAGAGAGAAACCTTGAGAGGACCGTGGAAAGAAAACAGGATCCCTAAGGTTTACCAGCAAGATACACCCATCAGAGTATTAAAGAACCTTTATAAAGTACAATTGGAACTTTCCCTGGAACACTTTATAGAAGTCTGGCCAATGCATGTTAAAAAGACTAATTAATACATGAAGAAGGCAATTACAGCATATTATTATGATAAAGTGAACAAGAAATCTCACCTGAACAAGAGAGAGTCTGGTTTATCTGGTTTAGCAAAATTATGCTATTGCTCTCTAAAAACACTCAAGATAAGGGGAAACAAACATTAAAAAGAAAAAAATTGCTACCTAAGATGAAAAATAATGTTGGCAACTGCCACTGACAAACTGCTTTAACATACAATTGCAAATATTCCCCAAGTATCAGTTACTTAGTTTTGAAGCAGCCTTCCAATAGTCAGCCGACAAAACACACAAAGCTTGTTTTACTATCATGACCATCTTATGTAACTTCACTTAAAAAAATCTAATAAGAGAGGGGAGAAAAAGGTCCAAGCCAGGAGTCTTCTCCCATTTTCTGGAATACAGGGAATAAGAAGAAAATAGGTCACCATGCTAATTCCAAAGGGACCACCTGCACCACTCAAGTGGCATGTCAATATCCCAAGCCTACTGCTAGATACTCTTGTCTGTAGCTACTTCAGGCTAGGCCAGCCCCATCTCTTGAAATGTAAAGTTCTCTCACACCTGTATGGACCAGCTGCCAAAGCAGCAGCTGGAATGATGGAAGAAAGGTCCTTCTGTAACAAGGTCTGTGCAAATTCCCTGCAGCTCAGCTTTGACTATTGTCACTAACCACAAAAAACAATTCATGCTCCTTCTGGTGACAAGGACAAGAATACCCACGTAAAGAACAAACCAATAAAACCCCAAAGCTTACAGCAATGGCGTCAGGACACCAGGTCCTTGCACCAGATCAAATACATAGACATTTCAGAGAACCTCAAACTCAAAAAGGTTTGGTTTTGTTTTTAATACTTGTTCCTCTTCTATTTTTGCATGCAAACATAAATCATTAGAAAAAACTAGGGATAAACACAAAAATCCCTCAAAACTGAAGCCATATCCAGAGCAAACACTGTTGTTCAACTAGCTCAAGGGGATTTTTTTTTCCTTTTTGATATCTTCCAGTGATGGCATTGGACACTTGCTGCTTAAGACTGTATTCAGTCATTCTTCCTGGGAGGTGCTCATGTCAGAGGGAATTAGGATTATAATAGATTTGGGGGAGGGGAAGGAAGGAAAGGGAGGACAACAGAAATCTTAGGAGACAGAGCTATATGGCAGTACACAGACACTTGGACAATTAACTGTCGAGCACTGAGGATAAGCAAGCTAAATACCAGAAAGAATTGCTCTTTTAGTAGAATATAGAAAGGCAGAAGCAGCCCTAGCTGAGTCAGTCTGGTTAGCATCTATTACTGGAGTTCATCAGGATTTAGAGCAAGACCAGACAAGAATAATGCTGAATTCTGAAACCTTCTAACATTGCAACACTTCTCCAGCCCACTGTGATTCCTGGGAGGATTATTACAGATACAAGAGTTGTAAAGGCTGAAGGTTGTTTGGGTGTGAGCACACAGAAGCTGCAGAAAGCAGCAAACCACAGCCAGGCCGTGTGCTAGGCAAGCAGCCCCCTCACTGAGGAAAAGCTACATCACATTTTCTACTGGTAAGGCAGGCCAGTAACCACAGGTACAGGGTCACAAACCCTGAAATATTATCCTCATTTTTCTCACAGTAACTCACACAGCCCACTCGTGCATGTAGCTCCTTCCTCCGACATTACGTGCATAATACCTGTAGTTTCTTTCAAACTAAGGCAAATTGTAGGCAAAATTGCTAAAAACTCATGGCACTCTAATCTAGAAGGAGCACATTATGCACCCATGTTCTGCATTGTTCAAGTCCACTGAAGCGAAAAGTTTGCCTTCACATGTCTTAAGGAGCTCAGACAAAAAAATCTGAACTTGTCCTTTGATCCTTTATGCAATAACAAAGTAGTCTTCACCTGGCAAGACAATGAAGACAAAACCCCCTTAAATACAAGGCTAGATATAAAATAAGCAACTCCTGCCTGATGCAGAACACACTGTTTTCCAAGTTGTTTTCCTTGATGCATAGCCACTGAAGGGAATTATAATCTCCTTAAGTTCTTAGAAAAAGCAAATACAGACAGCATGATCTCAACTGTATTAGCAAAAAACTTTCAGCATACCAATTAATTTTATCACCCCCAATTAGAAAGACAAGCTTCACAGTGAAATAAACATGTGAGGACCACTATTGAGCTAGGAAGATGACTCTGCAAAGCGTTAATACAGTAACAAGAAAAACGAACAGTTCTACTTTTTGCCTTAGCCTCTACAACCTAAAACTTCCCTTCTTAAAAGTGTTATGCTATTACATGAAAACCAGCTATCACCATGCTTTGGTTCACTTAGGCCAGTCAAACAGAAACAGAATTAGTTGAATTTTCCAACTTTACCTTAACTAACCTCACAGAAGAATTAAACAACTTTTCTTTTGAAATGAAGCTCAGCAACAATGTTCTACAACATCCCAAAGCAACATACCACCACTCTGCTCCAAGGAAACCACTTCCAGAGAAGTCAGCACACACAGCCAAACTACAATCAGTTTTGGAATATAAATAAGGAGTCACTCACAGCAGCAATTTGCCCAGGGAAGTTGGTTGCCTATGGGAAACAACCACCATCAAGCACCACTAAGGACCTCTACAAACCACAGATAAAGGAAGCTTTTGATACTGAAAATGTTGTTCTCATCTTTAAATACGTGACTTACTAAACCTGCAGCACAATTTTTACAGAGTGGTTTGTTTCCTTCCTGAGATAGTGTCACAAGATAAGAATCAGGGCGGTTTTACAGCACTTGGTGTGCGATCTTCCACAAAGATTCTGAAGTATTTAGCACATATCCTCAGCACGACAGCAGCAACACAGAAGCAAAGCGACTGAAAGAGCCTACTGAGGAAATGACACGGTGAGGAAATACTTCTTAAGAAACTACAGTTAATTTCACTCTTTGCCCAACCCTCAAGCAGCAAATCACCTTTCTCATAGTACTCCATATTCTTTACTCCTTTGTGCACTCTGTATCTCTGTGCTGCAGACTCCATGAAGTCTGCAGCACAGAGATACAGAGTGCACAAAGGAGTAAAGAATTCATTTTCTGGTTTAGGATATTTCTTGCCTAGAGTCCATTTGAGATTTGTAATTCTGAAGGAAGTCCAGGTTACACTCTTGCTGCCTTGTCTCCAGATTGCCTTACTATTCCTCAAGATCATATTAGCAAATTGTTTTTGCAACTCCCTCAGTATAAGTGGCCACCAAAATATTTGAGGTTTGTTGGGTTTTCAGGGATTTTTTTCTTTTTATGTTTTCCCTCTGATCCTTAGGATGTTTTAGCTAGAGCTACCCTGATCGTCAGGCAGTGATTTCTGGCCAAGACACAAAGTGAACCGCCCACTGAGTAACAAAAATGATCACATTACCAAAATACTAGAAACACACACGTAAAAGTGAAGAGGGGAAAACTAATTAAGCCCCTACAATACTTACAGCTATACAAGCACGCGGATCTGAGGCTGTAAAAACAGTGGAAGCCAAACTTGGTCCTAAAAGCGCCTCAGAGCGACTCCATCAGCGAGGCGCCGCACACGGAGCGCACACACGTCTCCTAGTTTGCCGCTCAAGTCTCCCAAGTTCCCCCCGAAGGCGGGGGAGCGGGCCAGCTGCGCCGAGGGCGGCACGGGCGGCCGGGGGCGTCGCTGCTCGCCCGCGCCGCCCTCCGCACTAGGAGCCGGGACGCGCGTTTCTCCGACGGAGCCCCCGGCACCCCCAGGCGGGGCGGGGCCGGGAACAAAGCCCGGCTCCGTGCCACCCTCCCCGTTCCGTCCCGCCTGGCCCGCTCCCAGCCCCGCCATCCCCTGCGGCGGTGGCTGCCCGGCGGCTGCGCGGCCCCGCTGTCCCGGGGGGCGGCCGGAGCCGGCCGGACGGGTGCGGGCGCGGGACGGGAGCAGCCCGGCGGCGGCCGCCCCTTTACGCTCGGCCCGCGGGGCCGTGCGAGGGCCGCTCCTAGCCCGGAGGCTCCGGGGGCCGCCGGCTGAGAAGCTGGGCACGCACGGGTGGGGCCGCGGCCGGGGAGGAAGGGGCGGAAGGAGACAGAGCGCGGGCCGCGGAGGAGATCGGGGCAGGCTCCGTCTCTCCGGGGCAAGAGGTCCGGAGCTCAGGTGGGGGCGGCCGGGCGCACGCAGCACCGCCGACCCCTGCTCCGCCTCCGCCCTACTCATGCCCCCGCGGCGACGGCGGGCAGGGCCGCCCGGCCACACGCTGCCCTCCCTCCCGTCCCTCCCCTCCCCGCCCCACCGTAAACAAAGCGGCGAGGACCGGGGCCGGGCCAGCGCCAGGGGCCGCAAAGCACAACCCGCGGGCTCCGCTCCCGTCGGGGCAAGGCGCCCCCTCCTCCCTCCGATCAGCCACGACCGGATCCCGGCTGCGCCGCCGCCTCACCTCTCCCGCCGGTGGAAGCTGCCGCAGCCCCGGGCGCCGCCGCCTACCTCAGCGCGGCTGCGGTCCCCCCCACACTTCAGAGTGACCCCGGTGGGACCCAGCGAACAACGCGCGCCACCGGCATCCCCCGCCGGCTTTATCCCGACGCCGCCTCTCCCCTCCGGCACCTCGACGTCCCGGCGCGGCGCTCCCGCCCCCCCCGCCGCCCCATTGGCACGCACGGCCCCGCCCGGCCCCGGCGCTCACTGGGGCAGGCGCGCAGCACTCACAAGGCCCCGCCCCCGCGCTCCCTCCCCGTTGGCTCCTGAGCGCCCGGCCCGCCCTCGAGGCACCGCCCTCCACACTTCAGCCAATCGCGATGCGACGAGGGGCGAGCCGGGCCCCGATTGGCGGTGCCCCCCCTTCCCGTGGCTGTGATAGGCCGGGACGGCGGCCGGGCCCGCCCCCAGAGCACTCCCAGGGCGCCGCTCCCCTCGGGCCGCCCGGGCAGCGCTCCGGCCCCCGCGGCTCCGCGGAGCCCCGCAGCGGGCCCGGCCATGCCCGGGATGCCTCCGAGACCCCGGAGAGAGCAGGACCGATCGCTGCCGTTAAGAAGACCGGTATCATCAAGGTAGCCGGGAATCAAACGGCTCTCTGGGCACCCTGGGAAACATCAGGGAAGCGTCCTGGCGGCTGAGGCCAATGAAGCCCCGCAGAGGTCCCGCCGCGCCGTGCCCGTGCTGTCAGGGCGCTCCTTTCGCCCGTAGGAAGCGGTCGGAAAACCCGCCCTTCCCCCCAGCGAATAAGGGCAAATATTTGTGTCGCGGCCAGTTGCACAAATGCTGAGATACCGCAGGTTTTTTTGCCGGGAATTACTGGCGTTGTTCTAGCCCCGCGAGCCGCCGGGCTTCCCCCGCAGAAGCAGCCTGGCTCCGGGCAGCCTGCGGGGCAGGGCGCGCTGCCGCCACACCCGCACGGCACATACAGCACTGGCACCGCTCTGGCCATTGATATTCGCTTTGATTTCATGGGCTTCCCGCAGCAGCCAAGCTGCAAGGTTTATCGCAATGCACTGGCAGCGAGGCGGAGTAATGAGATAATTCACATCATCCTCAGAAAACGGAGCCGCTACTGGGTCTAGCCGGGATTTCACTAATACAACAGGACTGGTGGTTGGAAGTAACAATGTATTTCTAAACAATGCAAAGATCAGGGAGCTAACGTTAACAGAAACAGTACCAACATCAACATTTTAACTGGTTAAAAAGTAACTATATTTTCTGTTAAAGTGCCTTAAAGCTTCCCGGCCTTAAAGAAAAACGGAGTCGGGAGGAAAGAAAAAAATAAATACATGTAAAATGTGATAAAATAACACAAGATTTGCAAAACAGTATTAGAAAGAATCCTGCAGTTAACATTTTCCCACTGTTAAACATAAGCCTGTCATGCAAGTACTGCATTATAATAAGCATTTCTAAGAAAACTGAGTGAAAAGTACAAAGAACAAACGCACCAGCACAACAGCTGTAAAAAATTCTATTAGAAGTTCAAAGTTCTGTACCACACTTTGTACAATTATAGTTTATTTGCAGTAAAAGCCCCTCCATGTTTAAGTACTTATATCCACGTGCTGCATACCCTTAAGACACATGATGTACATCAACTTATAGAAGCCAGTAGGGAAAGAAAGCAGGAGAGGAAAAAAATAAAAGTCTCCTGGTAGCTGAGGTTAACTCTTCCCCATAGCTTTAAGAATTTTGTGGAGTAGTTTTTATTGAATTTTAACAATTGTACCAAACAGTCCAAACATGGGTGACATAAGACCTAACATGACAAACAGGATTCATTGCTTCTGGTGTTGTGCATAATTTCAGACAATTGATTGAAGCAAGTATGTAACTTTCAGACCCAAATGCTCCTTTACCTGCCAGCTTTACAAAATAGCTCTAAGGATTAGTTAACACGTAAAGTAATTTTCAAAATACATTACAGTACCAGTTAATATTAATGGCAATCATTATGTATGTGGGTAAAGTCCTTACTAATTGAGGCTTTGACTATCAGCTCCTCGAAGACACCCACTCTTGGTTCTTGCTGATGTGCCATAATGCTTCAGGCAAATAACTGAGTCTTTGTTTGCCACCAGTTGTAGCAGTTACAACAATGCTCTTTTTTCTTGGTATGAGGCACTGCTATTTCCTCATTAGGGAGAGATTCTTCCAATACAGTCCTATTAACTCTTGGCAGTCACCAGAACCTCTCAGCTGTTGCATTTTCTATATTGTCCAGAGCACCAAGCCAAAAAAAAAACAAATCACCATTGTTCTTTGCACTTGAGCACCTACACTTCCATTACTTGCTTTGGAGACTTTCCTTACCAGATCAGTGTTTGCTCCAACTCTTTCATATATCTAATAATTTTAGTTATGTCTTATACAGCATTGTAAAACTTATTTGTTAGGCCACCTGTGTTTTGCAGTGGAGTTGTATAAAACCTGTCATTGACTGTTATGAGGGGATGAAAAAAAATTAATCAGAAACATAAACTTTTAAACCACTTGATAGACTGCACAGAGCTCACCCCAATCATTCTCTGAGCTCCACCTTCAAGGGTTCTGAATATTCACCACTGCTTTGCAAAGTACTGCAATTAGAAACCGTGTGACTTTCACACCTTCCAACTTGTTAACCTAAGTAATCAGTTCGTTTCAAGAGAATCTCATCGTTTGAAAGTTTTCATTTTTCTTTCTAGGCATCTCCTTCACAAGATTTCAATTTCTAAAGGTAAACTATCAAGTTTTTTTGTTACAGTATTTTGAATCTCAAATATATTCTTCATTCTTACATAATACTAAGTAATAAAAGATAAAAAGTTTAGAGGCATAGATACGTGAGTTGTAATACTTGTAAAAATAATTTTGACTCTTGAAGTGGCCCAAAAATATATAACTTTGTGCTACTACAAATAATCTATTATTTTTGTGTTTAAAACAACACAGAACAGCAATTATAAAACAGCTGCTGAAATGCAGTCAAACCAGCATTGTGCCTGTTGTTAAAACAAACATTTCAAGATCTCTGAGAGTTTTTCTCTTAAGAACTACTCCAGTGCATAGATTTATAAACAAAACTCAGCATATTGCATAATGGCACCTGTTAAAGCAAAAAGTAGAGAAAATAGTATTCAAGAAAGGGGTTAAATATCTAGCCTCAAGCCTTGCAAGAGAACAACATTTTATGCTTATCAGAAGGACTTGATGATGCAATCATCAATTGTAAATTGAAATTCTCATAGTTGCATGAAAGATAGCATGATTATAAAGGAAGTTGTAAAAAAACCACCAGAGGGTCAGAAAAGGTGTCCTTGTTAACATTTCTTTCAATGAATGAACTCCAAAAACTGGTCTTGAGTACAGAGAATGAAGTGCCAAGGCTGTAGATATGCTCTACCATCGATGCTGCATATGGACCCACAACTGCAGCTGTAAGCCAACAAATGGATGCATGTAGCCTGGTGAAACTTTTAAGTATCTCACAAGCAGGCTGTACTAGGAAAGATTTTTGAATGGATGGTAAACTCACCAGTTTGCTGGATTATTTTAAATTTTTTCCCCATTAGAAGTCTAAGAAACATGAAGACAGTGAAGTGAGAAAACCGAATGGATAACTATCAATTTTACAATAGAGAAGCAAAACAGCAGCTCAGAGTCATTATTTTCTACAACGAAAGAGACTGATTGCCATTTCCTCCCCACTGAAGCTCCTTATTTAGAGGAAGTGCAATTCATAAGCATGTCCTACCCCACAAAAGTTAAAGATTTTAAACCCCACTGTATTCTTTGCATAGAAAGATAAGTGGAAAAAGGCATGAAATAAGTTGTTTTAATAAATGAGCTATAGTCCCATAAACAAAACTGTCTTGAGCTGATGAGGCAAACATCTTTTGCCTTCCGACTAATAATGTGCATCATGGATGGTCATGTATTGGAGAATGCTTAATTAGCAAGGGCCCAGGTGACAAGCAGAAATAAAGATTGCCTGATTACACCAATTACTTCCAATCTCATGTAAATTAGAAATATATTTATTGTATGATGAGAGGTGTGAATAAAAGAACCCCTGGTTCTATCCACCTATTTTGTTTCAAGAATCCAATCTCCTCTATAGTTTTCATTAGTCCATTTGCCCTAGGCCCTGCACATGATTCACATTCTGTAGAAAATTCGGACCTTCAATCTCAAGGCCCTTCCTTCTCCTATCATCAGGCATGGACCCTTTTTTGTACAGCCATCAGAGAGCAGCAATTTAAGCCAAATTCCAGGGTAAAGAGACAATGGCTTGCTCTTTAGGCCTCGAAAGGCTTAAAGGGAGTGGTACATTCCATATGCAAGCACGGGCATATCAGCATATAGTGAGCTCAAGCCACAGTACTGCTTGTTTACAAGAAAATGCCAAGGCATACATTGCACTACCAACACCATACTTTTTTCCCCTCAACTTCTTATTTCTCAAAAACTGCAAGCACCTGCTAAAGCTGCCATTTCCACGGCATTGGCTAGAATCAAGCACACAACTTCTTAGTCTCCCACTCCAAGACAATCCTAACCACCAAACCAATTGCACTTTCGAGCTCAAGAGCTGCCTAGCAGACACTTGCTTGGTCCTGATTCAGAAAAAAACCATCTTTTTTAGGCAACAGAGATCCTTTCCTTTTAGGAAATTCTGGCCATCCGTCTTTAGCAAGCCTCTGGGTACCGTACGTACAGCTGGGGCTGGGCAGGGGCAGACAGAAGCCTCTCGCTGCCCGCTGTGAGGGCCGGGCCCGTGCGCAGTGCGGGCAGCGCCGCCGAGCCGAGCCCGCCCCGCCGCGGCCCGCCCGCCCCCGCGCATGCGCACCGCGTCTGCGTGCGCCGAGCGCAGTTCCGGGTCACGGCGGCCATGGAGGCCGGGCAGGGACCCGGCCCCGGCGGCGACGCGGCCCAGGTAACTGCGCTGGATCGGCGGCGCTGCCGCGGGGAAACCTGGGGGGGCTGGGGGCGGCGGGGCGGAGGGCGAGGCGGCGGGCTCGGGGCAGGGAAAGGGGATTCCTGTCAGCAGCTCGGCCGTCCCTGCCCTGAGCTCCACGCGGGGCCGGTGCCCTTGAGGCCTCTCGGGGGCCGGGCGGGGGTCCTGG